CTTCTCTCTCCATAGGAAGTGTGCCAGAAAGACATTTTATTGTCCAAAGCATAATTGTTTTCTGTATGTACAAGGCACACTTCATACAAGACTAAAGAAATGAAAAATGCACAACAGATACTTGCAGTGTGTTTTATAAATGCTAATATTTAAAAGAGGTTGATTTAAAAAATCCCCAAACATTCCTGCACATGCTGAAGGCATAGCCTTTATATTGTACCATTAAAGTGCTGGATTTTTGAGGAATACTGAATTTGGCAATGCAAGGAGGCAAAGAACTAAGCCTGCAGTTCCTTATGATATGTAGCTCTGCGATACAATATCTGGTTGCCGGAAGAAAAGTGTAATCCCATTAAATAGAATTTGTAAAATTCTGTTAAAATTGTATCATTTACTGAGCACAGCAATTCTCTAGTGGAAGGCTGTTATTCACTGGAGGGCTCCAAAGGCCGGCCAGTCACCAGCTGCTAGCTCCTCTTTGCTTTCAGCTGCTCCACTCTGTAATAATTTTTTACATGACTATTTCACAACTGCATGTGCTGCCACTGCTCTAACCTCAGCAAGGAACTGGGAACCGTAGGACAAAATTGTTTCTACAGTGAATCAAAGGACACAACTGCCCATGGAAGCCTTTCTTGAATAAATTATAGCCTACAGGGAAGAAGATTGGAAGGCTCTTGTGAAGAACAATAACCATTTTAGAAGCAGCTTCATGTGACTGCAGTTGGTACAAGTTGGGCAATTCTTGCGATCTCTACTTTCTGATTGAGAATAGCAACACTGGGGTTTTCACTGTCCGTGGAATTAAAGATGAAAATACAGAAAGTAGTGTCTTAATTCCTTAGACATGTCCCATGCTGGAAGAGAAACAAATCCAGTATGCTGGTGTGAAAAAATAAAACCTGCAACTTTACAAAAAGAATGCTACTTTTATTTTCAAATGCTGTAAAAAGCCTCATATAAATCTTTATAATGCTTCTATGTAACTTTCCCAGCCACAACTAATGAAACAGTCTAGGAAAAATATAGCAGTTGCCATTTCAACTCCAAGAACGATCTGCTGTAATATATCAACATTAAAAGGACAAGGTACAGTATGTTACAATGCTTGTAATTGCTCATATTATTGAAAAAGTGAGAGCACTTCCTAAGCATAAGAGCATAACTGGGCTAAACTGCAGTATTCCCTACTTGCTGTTGCAGAGGAGGAAAGTCACCTCTTTAGGAGGAGCCGGCACAACACCCTTGGTACTGCTTATGCCCATTTATCTCAGTAGTGTGGAGAGCTTCCAGCAAGCCCCTTTGCACTTAGGTGAATTCACCCTTGTCAAATGCTATTATTCCATACTGTATCCAACGGCTCAGGTGTTTTAACAATTGACCTATAAAAATAACACTTATATAACTCTCTAGCAAGGCAAGTTTAACAGTGCAAATGCAGTATCAACAATATTTGATTTCTGAATGCTGGCAAATTTTTTAACTCCTTTTGCACATGAAACTACCTCTGCTGATGTCCTGTACCTAAGGCCACTCACTCACGCTGACTGGAGATGGAACAAAGTGCAAAAGCTCAGCTGCGTTTCCTGATCCAAGCTTCCTCCCCAGTTTCAGGGTATTCTGATCCAGAACGCAGATTCAGGCTCACCACTTCCATTGATGCACTCAAGTTTTCCCTGCTGGAATAGGTTAACTTCCCAGCAAACCTCCGATAACAATTTGCATACACAATTCCACATTTTAACAAAAGTTAACAAAACATACTTCCAGAAAATAAATTTTCACATGGTTGCACTCATCAAGCCATTTCAGGATCTTTGGTACTCCAAGAATAAGAAAAATAAATGGCACAGTGACAAACATCGCCAAAGGAAAACACACAACCATCCAAAGGGATAAGACAAAAATTACAAAACAAAAGATATGTTGAACTTCCATTTTTTAAACGCCAGTGTAGATTAACCTTCTGTTCTCTTTAATCCATTACAGTGTCACAGTTTCACCTTTAAAAAAAAAAGTTTATCATCCTAAAAGCAGTAGTTAATATTTTGTTTAACTTGACTTGTTGATTAAAATAATGCTATGTTTTAAAAAAAAAAAAAATCAACTACCACAATACAGGAGTTTTTGCTAAATAGGCTGCAGGTTGTTTCCCTATGGATATAACTCCTATGTGAGCACTGACACGATTATTCATCCACAATTTTAAATGAGTATTATCTTTAGTGTTACAAATATAAGGGTTGAGCTTTTTCCCAAGTTTGTAAACCAGTGAGTATGTACAGACATAGTTGTTTAATAGATAGCTTTAAATTAAGTGTGTATTTATCTCCCCACCCCCAACCCCCCAGGGAGGAAAAAAAAAATAAAAAAAATAAAAAAAATCACCAGTGTTACTGAGCATTTGCAGTTTCCATGAAACTTGTCTTAGCAAGTCCAAGCAAAGACTTCTTTTTATATTACGCAAATGGGGTAACTGTGGTCTTTTGAAATGTGTTGTTCACAGGAATTCCACTTCTGGTGCACATAATGCCCCATGAATCAGACTGGAAATTAAAACTAATAAAATTTCTCTTTTTAATAGCAATGTCCTTTGAGGCCAAGTTTGCATCTTGGATATTTTTCTGCCCAAGCTCCTCTGTCTTTGTAGAATGCATTGAATGCCTTAGAAAAAGGATTTCCTTTCCTGAGAAGGCTCAGAAGCTGCTAGGGCACTAGCAGCACAAAGTCTGAAAGTGTAAAGGTGGATTTAAGCAAGGTACCATTTTTTGACAGCCTTTGGATGGCTACAGGTTGTGCTTCATTATAGTGACAAGGCGAAGAACACCACTAGAGAATTTCTGAGGGTTCTTGCCCCAACAGCAGTACAGGGGTGTTAATTAGTGTAAGGTCTGGGAAGAAAAACTGGGAGATCGATGAGCTGTTCCCACATAAGTCCAGCATTTAGGCAAAAGTTTAGCTTAGCCATGTTCCCACACAACACTGTATAAACTGGATGGGCCCTGAGGCACTGGCTACTCCTCTTTGATGAGCTGAAGACTAAGATTTTTTTTTGTAGAAATGCAGTATAAGTAACAGATACTAGATGCTTGAAGGGAGACAAAATATTGGAGGAAAGATGTCACTGAAGCCCTTGAGGAACCTAGTAGCTGTTGGATCGGGTAAGACTACATGCACGTCAGTAAGCCACTGATGCACAAAAATCTTGCTGGTAAATGGTCTTTTATGCAGCAGATGAACTTCTCAGTGTGTTTTTAAAGCATACAAATAATTCAGAACAGCTGATGCCATGGTGCCTAACAGCAATAAATATTGCGTAATGGCTTTATAAATAGTCACTTCCATGTTGCTGCAAAAGCCAGTCTAATAGAGTCTTTCCTACTGTATGCCAAAACATTCACTCCGATGGGCACTGCAGAGGTTTTTAGAGTGCCCTTCGCTTGTGTTCAGAGGAGGAAGACAGCAGCAGTGACTCTGCTTGTTCAATTACTGGGGAATTGTTCATCGCTGTAAATCTCTTTTGTAACCAAAAACCAACATCAAAGATCTCTACTGTATTGTGATAAGATTCGAAGCGCTGCAGATAATATGCTAGTAGAGGCGGAGATACAGATAAATTTGCCAGCAAGCAGATAATGGCAAACTGTTTGAGGAGTGCAGTTCAGTCCTGAACTGCTGCTGGGCTAAGCAGCAAAGCCATACCCACTGTATGGGGGGATTTCTACTTCAGTTTCCTGGGCTTAGGATGAGGAGACCTACTTTTGCTGCCAGCTTGTGACCATGGTGCAGACTGGTGAGAATAGCATTTAGATGCTCTGCCCAATTCAGTCGTGGTTGGTTGTGGTTCCTAGAAAGGGGGCTGCAGACTGAGCCGATTCTTTGTAACCCCATGGTCCACATTAGATGGTGATACTAGAAGACAACAGAGCTCACAGGAGGGCGAGTCTAGTGGGTTGCTCCATTTGCTCTGGCTTGGCAGAGGCTGCTACAGGGTATTCTGGAAAAAAAAAGCTAAAGCAGGATTCCTTCTGCCTGGAACTTCTTAGGGAGAGAAAAAAGAAAAAGCATCAATTTGATCACTTTTCTAGAATATGTTTTGCACAGGCAGGAAAGGCTGTTTGAATTATGAGTAGCAAAAAGATCATCTTTACAACAGAGGCAGGAACGCTGTCCTGGAAACTGCTGTCTTTACAGAATTTAGTATCAGAAGAAAAATTTCCTTTCTGTTAAAACTATAATTTTTATTCTGACTCCTTTTTATTCCTGAAGTTGCCAACAGGTATCATCACCTTAAAATATAATACCCATCAGTTATCATTTAAAGCAGAAATACCACTAAACAGATCACAGCGACTGTTTCACCACCACACACAGCGGAAAAAGGAAGAAAGAGAAGAAGGGATGATCGGCTGATAAAGCCCTCCTGTGGGGAGGAGCGAGGGTAGGCAGGGTACAAGTAGTCCCCACAGGACACTGCTATTTCAAATAATCCAATATTGCCACACTCATGGGGTATCTGCAGACCGCAACTGGAACGCCCTTGAGCAACTGCTCCGAGAATTTTGCAAATGTGGGCAATATTTTTTCATACTGCATATCTAAAACCCACCAGGTGAGCAGTATAATGGCAATGCTGCATAAAATGATATGTTTTACTCCTGGGTGGATTAGATGTTTTACAGTACAAACATAGCCACAGAGAGGCATATTAACCGTTATACACACATAGGCAGTGCAGTTACAAAGGGATGTACGTTCCTTTTATTCCAGTACCTTTGTATAATAGTTAACAAAAATATTAAAATATTAAAAAAAAAAAAAGCCAGCTGGCACTGCCAACTAATTCCTGTAGTAGTCTTAGAAATCCTAATCCTGTAGAATTTCCTTGTGAAATTGATGCGCACCAGAGTCAATGTATTGATAACTAACGCCAAGCGGGTCTGGTGATGCAGCTACCTGAGGTTTGTATTTTTATTTCTTTTGTGGGTTTGTGTTTTGTTTCACAACTTCCCGGCTTTCATGTAGGAAGGGATCGAGCCACGCTGCGTGAGCCCTTCAAACCTCTTGTAGGTATAATTGAGGAAAACCCAGTCTTTGGATTTGTAGTCTGGTTCCGTTGTGTTTGGCACTAGAATTCAGAAACAAAAGTAAAACAAAAACAATTAAAAACAGCGCTGCTTCTGAGAAAACTTTTCACAAAGTACTGCATAAACAGCCCTGAACTTTTATTTCCCTAGTCAGCAGAAATTCCTTGAATCCTGTTTCTAATCACGTCAGTGGTCTGAGAAGAGTTGTAATTTCAGCATATATCTCTGAAGCAGGAAAAGGGTTTTTTTGTTTGTTGGTTGTTTTTTTGTTTGTTTTTTTGTTTTACTTTTTTTTACACCATAACAGGCTCCCATACCTTGACAGGAACCTGTAACACACCCACAGTATATACAATTACTAAAACCATAACATTTAGGATGCTCCATGCACAACAAATGCATGTATACATATCATGTTATCCTCACCACAAACAGAAAAGATAAATCCAAGTTCTCCCAAGAGAACTACACATATCATGCACATAATATTCTCCTAGGACTTCCTCCCTGCTTAGTGTCAAGCAAGGCTTGTACAGCTTCCTTTTATTTTATGAACAGCCTGCATGGCTGGTGTGCTGCACATGGGCATTCGCTGCAGTGGGCTTCTATATTTAGCTCTCTGGTTGCTGCTTTTACAGTTCTATAACAGTTTTACAGTTCTATTTTCAACTCAATATGCCAAACACACTGATATCAAAGTTTGTATTTAGGTATCTAGATGTACAGTAACATTTTCAGTAGGTCTGAAGTGCCAATACTAATACTTGGAATTATCCAAATATGGACTTAAAACAGCTTAACTTAGACACTGGAGATTGATTGCTTTTGCATTAAAAGGACAAACTTCCTTACCATTAAATAAAAGCCATTTCAGAAAAAAAAAGCCCAGCTTTTTGATAATCTTATGGTTGTTAACACATCTACACTTTTCTGTCATCAATTAATCATTGTTATATATCTGCCTATCTTTAAGCCATTAATAATTAATTGAAAAAAAGGAGGAGAGCTAGGAGAATTTGGCATGTCAGAGAATCAAGCCTTTTATGTATAAAGATTTCCTAGTACTTGCCAATAGAACTTAACAATTTAAAAAACTTAAATGATTTGCAGAGCTGCTCAGGTTCATAAATCACTATGTTAAATAATCACCTGTCTGAAAATATTTGCCTACAAATAGTGAACATTTATGTTTGGCATGAAACTCAGAAGTCATTAAAGATCAAAAGCAAACCAGTGCATAACGTTTTACCAGAATTTGGTTAGACAGACTGTATGGTAGAAAACTACTGTTTTCTGTGCTCACTGTATATGCAAACCATTTTTACTAATAGATTTAACTGTTAAAATCTGTGAGGTTTTTTTTCCCCCCACTCCGAAGTTCTAAAAAAGTAGAAGCTATGAGAGATCATAGGTTTACATTTATATTTGAAAGAAAGTCTCTAGATCAGGTCTGTATATTACCTTGATTAAGATATCAGAAAATTGAATATAAACAACAACAAAAGCATCTGTGGAGTATTCTGGAATATCATAGATAGAAATTTGGAATTTACAATGGCAGTCTCACCTGGCTGTAAAATATCAGATTCAGGAAATTCATCAAAGTTGGAAGTATCATCAATACTTTTGATTT